AGATCTGGCGCAGCTCCGGCGCCGTCCAATTGGCGTGCACCAACGCCCCGGCGCCAACACCCCGCGCTCCGGGAGCTCCTGAAGAAGCTGCGCTTTCTTCATGTTGCATGGCGAAGGCAGGCTGGGCATCCGAGCTGGCAGTAGGGGCCACGTTCAAGTCGTTCGCAAGATTGAGCTTTGCAAAGCGGCTGCGGCCAATCCAGGAGAAGTGTTCTCGAAACGACTGAGCGTGACAAATGAAGTTGACACACGCTGTGCCACAATCACGCTCTTGGCTAAACAAGGAATGAACTCGGTGATGCGCTTTCCACGCAAGTGATCTAACAATGATTTCTTCAACAACTCGTGCGTGGTGTTCCAAAGCTTCGGGTTGAAGAGGGTGGCACAAGGTACGACATGCGTGCGAATCAACTCATCGGCCGTCTCGACCCAGAAATCCCTGTTGTGTTTCACTGATTGCCACCAGCACCAAAACCCATTCCCACTGAGGACTTCGGGCTCAGCCAAGATACGAAAAGCTTCCGATGGCAACTTCTTTGGTTTGCAGCTCCACCCCCCGCCATCTCCATAAGCGCTCATGTATGCCACACCCGTTGGGAATCCGACTTCTCCAACACGCCGCTGTGAGCGATCGAAAGGAATCTCACGGCCAGCGCGCCGCAGTCGTTCACGCACAATGGCCGGATGTCCGGTTGGGCTCACTCTGAGGTCAACCGCTTTCAAATCAAGAGCTTCTAGATCTACCCGCTCAGCCGCGAGGTCATACTGCGTGCCCAGGGCCGCAAGAACTGGCCGGCTCAAAAGCAGTGGCGCTGAGCAAGGGACAATGGAGACGGTCACACAAAAGAAACGCCCGGCCACGCCGAACCAAGCTTCCACGACAAATCGTGATGTGAAGAGTTTGGAAGCGCCAAACTTGAACTGGTCCACCTGATCTTGGGTCACCACCACATAGCCATGAGCGGCAGCCCAGTCAGCGTACATCTCATACCAATCGCGACCTGCCACCGACTTGGTGCAAGCCGTGTCCACGCTGGCGGGCATGTCATATCTTCTCATCGGAGAAGTCCGTCATGCAGCGCTCCCCCAAGCCACCCTGGTATAGGTCTCATCTTCAATCATGAAGTCCCCACCGGAGCACCTTCTCAACATAGGGCTCCGCCGTCATGTGGTGGGGATGTAGGCCAGGGCCAGTGCCGTCGACGAGGTCAGTGACATAGACCACCTGGCACATCTGTGCATTCTGAACCTGCCTCCCAACTTCCGCCTTCCCATCAGTGCGGCCACCAGTCCTCTGATCTCGTAGAGGGCATTCGGGGTCCTTGTGCCAATGGCCGCGGCGACTTCAACTTCTTCATTTCATCTTGGTTCACTCCTCGGCCTTTCAGCACCTCCCGGCACTTGGCTTTGGTTCCTTGGTAGGCCATGTAGGCACTATGGTGATCGACTGCCGTGTCCTTGTCCACGAGCTCCTCGTCAGGCCACTCATCTTCTTCGCTGGAAGCCTCGCCATCATCATGGTTGGTCGTATGGACCGTCTGCCTGCTCCATCGCTTGCCGCCCCCACCGTGATTCCAGCTTGACTTGTCACCAACTGCACCGGCGGGACGACGGAAGGAGCGATCCTGGACAAGGGCGGCATGTTGGAGTTTGCGCACATCATACTGGTTGTTGACACTGGAGAGAAGTGCTAACTCCTCGGCCTCCGACAGCCTCAACTTGTCCAGGTAGAGCCATCCTTTGATCAGGGGGCAACTCACACCTGATTTCATGCAAGCGAAGCACCAGCCGCTCGAACTCCACGTTGGGCTTCCGGCGACACTTCCGGAAGAGCTCACTCGTTAATTGGGAAATCTTGTTGATCTGAAGCCAGTCCAAAAGAGTAGCTCGCGCCATGGTCCGTGGCGAGGATGTCCAAGTCCAGCTCCTCCGCATAGACCCAGGCCTTACAAAGCGAGAGCTCGGTGTTCGGGATTCATCTTGGTGCGCCTAAACCAGACCTGCACACGACGAACATACGATCATGCAGACTTGACCTGATCCGAACTTCTCTGAGGGCTTGGAGTCACGAGGCCAAGCAGCATCAGGCCAGTCGGCCACAGAGTCATAGCTCCCAGCCTATTTGCCGTTGTTCATGGCAGTCATGCGATTGATGTCCGCCACATTGAAGTTCCTCACCTGGTGGTCGGACAGCCAGCCATCCGTCTCCTTGGAGCTCCAAGGATCACCAGCCCCAACACATTCCGTGGATTCCCAACCTTCGTCATTCCATTCCCAAGCCTGGTTGGAGTGGGCCCCGAGGGTGTTGTCCATGCCTGGAGATCGCTCCCTTGAGCTTCGCTCACCGGATCTCCTTGGCCATCTTCTTCAGCTAAAGGTGGCGGTGGGGTCCAACACGGCTGCCATGTCCTAGAACCCTTCATCCAAGGATCTCACCAAAACAGCTCCGCGTGACCAATGTTGGAATCACGCTGTTCCAATCAAAACATGGCGACCGCCGAGGCACGCGCCTTTTCACACACTAGAAAATCTCTTGTGCCTCAATGGGCCACGAACCACAGAAAACCAGTGCAAACATGTCGACCAGGCGACGATGCGAAAATGATGCTGTGCATTCACACCAGGTTCCAATGACTCACTGCCGCTATGGTGAGTTGGAGGGAGCAGCCTGTGACCAGGTGAGCGATGGCAGTTCTTCATGCTGCCTTCGTTTGGAAACCCAAACGGTTCCGATCTCGCTCTCCCTCTCTTGTTCCCGGGCCCTAGCTGGTTTGGATCGCTGAGGGATCCGAACATGCGAAGCCTAGAAACCTTCTGCTTTTTTCAGAGTGTCAAGCTGCGTCCACCTAGCGCAAAGGTGCTAGCTGCTAGCTTACTCAGTGTACTAGCTTACTCCAGTAGGCGCCGGCGAGAGGCGAGAAAAAACAAGATGGAGCCCACGAACCCGAATGCAAACACGTTCGAAAAGCTACATATGTCCAAATGACACTCTTGTAGGACACTCTTGTGGGACACTCTTCTGGGACACTCTTGTAGGATACTCTTGTGGGTCACTCTTGTAGGACACTCTTGTGGAACACTCTTACAGGACACTCTTGTGGGACACTCCTGAAAGGCACTCTTGTAGGACACTCTTGTGGGACACTCTTGTAGGACACTCTCGTGGGACACTCTTGTAGGACACTCTTGTCGGGCACTCTTATGGGACACTCT